AAATCCAGCAAATTTGGAGGGTTCTCCCACTTTCCATGCCCCAAATGACTAATGTGTTCTTGGGAGCTTTGTGTTTTTACAAAACTGCTGGCCTATCCAACAACACAAGCACTTGAAGATGCGCAGCGTGCACACCAGTCAAGTCAACACAGTTATTCCTGTGCCTAAAGTTAAGCACACGGACTGCTTGGGCCAGCACACTGAAAGAGTGGGAATAATGGGAGGGTTTCTGAATTTCTTTTTTGTGGTGAGGACAAAGAAAGCACCAGAAAATGTGTGTTCTGCTAATCTGACATATGCCCATCCCATAAAGTAGTTGTGCTTTGCATGGGTTGAATTTATGTGAGGTTTTCTATTGCCGTTACACAAGGAAAGCCCAGCCTAGCCTGACTGATCATAGGTGTATAGCTTTAAGAGCAATTAGTTCCACCGATTGGTTATCTGAACAGCTGCCAGAGATATTGATCAAGAAAAAAGCTGTTTGGAATAGTGACATCTGAAACAATTGGTTTTAAAACAGTCAGAAATATAGCTATTGATTGACTGAAGGGGATTCTTCTGGCCTGTAAGTGTACAATTTTGTTTTCTGAACACAGCGGGATGCTGTGGTGTGAACTTGGAGAATAATCTTTAAAGAAAGTTTAAGAAGAAAATGCAGCAGGGGTGATTGAATGTCTTTCTGGGAAAATTATGGAGGAGTATAGGAAGCCGGGGTTGTTTTCCTGATTATTTCTCAGCCATCCAAATCAGAGACTGAAAACATTACCTAGATTTAATCAGGAAGATATAAAAGGGCCATTGTTCAGAATCTGTCTGGAAAGCCCACGGGCACATCACTCTCCTGGGAATAGGAACTTTCCTGGGACTAGGAGATGGCTAAGTCATGTTTGCAAACTGAGGCACACGGAAATTAAGTGGTTTGAGCTGATTGAGAAATCAGTACTAGGATTTGTTCTAGGCAAACAGTCCTACGCTGATGGGAGGGATTTTACCTGGATGTGTTTTCTTCAGACCTCTGATTATCTGCCTTAATTCCTGCCTGCACAGAGGGATGGCACACAGCATTAAATTGAACCTCCACACCAGGAGACATTTCAGGTGGGGAAATGGTTGACTTCAGTGTTTTTCAGAGTAGTTAACAAATGTGACTGGCTGATAAATTAGGGGGAAACAGACATGGCAAAAGCGAACAAATTAAGTACACTCTGTAAAGAGCACACTCTGTAAAAGCACAACTGTGTCGTGCATATCGGACCACGCATAATCCAGACATTAAATTCATGTTTTCAGAGTCTGTCTGTTAGCATGCATGGTCTGATATGCACGACACAGTTGTGTCTCCATCTGCTGAACTAGGCAGTTGTTTGAAAGACTGTAACAAAATTTTGTGTTGATGATGCTTATGTTGCTGTGAATTGAAGATAGACAGTTTCCAAATTGATCTCTCCAGTCTATATAGTTAGAATGAGCTTGAAACGGGGAAATCAAAATTAACACTTCCTTTTAAAAATCTCTGGCCAAACAGAATTGTGTTTCTTTCCCTTTCCTTCCCCCCCTTTTGGAATAACGTGCAGTCTTTGTTTGCCACCTCAGGCAGCAGTTGTCTACAAGGGGCCCTCCTAGGGCTGGGGCTTCTGAGGAAGGCTGGGTTTGCTGTGTGCATGCAAGGTGGTCGAGCTGAGCCTGTTTTGGATAAGGGAGGGTTAAAATATCTTCCAGCCATCATGTCCTATATTCTGTCTGTAAAGAAACACAATTCTGTTCTTGAATTACCAGCCCTTACCCTCTGTATTCTATCTAGGTCATTTCTTATTTAAATGCTGTTAATTGTTGTTGCTTATGATCATATCAAAGGCTTCTGAAAATGTCAACCGAGACTGATGTCCCTGTATCCTTAGCACATGGACAGAGCGGAACAGCTTACAGCTTTTCATGAACTTGTGTCACCATCTCTCTTTTGGGAATGAGAGAAGTGAGATGTGACAATGTAATGTGGCTTTTTCCAACATCACGCAAACTGCCTGTGACAGAACTAGGAAAACTGACCCAGAACATTCCAGGCCAGGGCTCTCGGCCCATCCTCCTGCATTGAAGTGCAGGCTGGGAGAGCCCAGAGCCCCGCTAAGCATACTGCCGGCTCTCATTCACCTGGTGCTCAGCCAGCAACCCCTGCAGGGCTGTGTAAGACTGAAGCCGGTCTCCTTCCAGCATAGTAGGAACACTCCTGCTTGGAGGGCTGAAGTTTTCTACACATGGTAGCTGCCCGAGGGTTAGAGCTTGGTTAGTGCAAAGCCAGTTCATCTGCTAGCTTGGCAGAAGGAGGAGGAGAACCAAAATACCCTCTCCACTTCCAGCAAAAGAAATAATCCTGTGACTTTGTCATAAACAGCTCTTCAGTTGAAGCAGCTAGGGATTTGAGCATGGAAATTTGGCATGGAAATAGCCTTTCATTACGATTGTGTCTCTAAGCATTCCCATGGAAAACTGCTTTTGATCAGCAGCAGACTTGGAAAGTATTGCCTTGCAGAGATTGCAACCCTGCCTGCAAACCTGCAGGTTTTTTTTCACTCTCCATGAATATTATCATTATCCCAGACTCTTATTTGCTGGATGGGAATGCTTCAGGGTTCCTGTGAGGGCTGAGATAGCACTGATATACCCCTTTATAAACGGGGAAGCAAACGCCGCTGGTTCCCAGCCGGACAGGGCAGCTGTGGGGCCGAGGGGCGGTGAGGGGCCGGCTCCGGCGGGGTGGCAGGGAGGGGGCGGGCAGCT